GTATGTATGTATTATGTATGTATGTATGTATGTATGTATGTATGTATGTATGTATGTATGTATGTATGTATGTATGTATGTATGTATGTATGTATGTATGTATGTATGTATGTATGTATGTATGTATGTGTGTATGTGTGTATGTGTGTATGTGTGTATGTATGTATGTATGTATGTATGTATGTATGTATGTATGTATGTATGTATGTATGTATGTATGTATGTATGTATGTATGTATGTATGTATGTATGTATGTATGTATGTATGTATGTATGTATGTATGTATGTATGTATGTATGTATGTATGTATGTATGTATGTATGTATGTATGTATGTATGTATGTATGTATGTATGTATGTATGCATGTGTGTATGTATGTATGTGTGTATGTGTGTATGTATGTATGTATGTATGTACGTACGTATGAGCGTGTGCATGTATGTATATATTTATATATATATATGAAGGAGCATATGTATGAAAATATCAGTCTATGTCTATTAAACATGACTCAATGAGTCTATAGATGCATAATGCAAGTTTTATGTATTAGTCTGTGAGTGAATCACGAAAGTTGTATGTACAAGTTGACTATGAATGCATGCATGATGAAAGGTTTATGTATGATCTATGCATGTATAATTAAAGACTTATATATGTCTTATGTATGCATGATGAAAAAGGAATGTTTAAGTGTGTGTATGCACGATGAAAGATGAGCGTATGAGTCTATGTATGTATGATGACAGATGTATGTCTGAGTCTATGTGAGCATTTCCAAATATATATATATATATATATATATATATATATATATATGTATGAGCCTATACAAGCATGATAAAAAATTTATGTATGATTTTATTTATTCATGATGAAAGATGTATATATGAGTTCATGTACGTATGGTGATGGATATGCATGAGTCTGTGTATGCATGAGGATAGATATATGTATGAGTCTGTGTAAGCATGATGATAGATAAATGCATGAGTCTGTGTATGCATAATGATAGATATATATGTATGAGTCTGTGTATGCATGATTAAAGATGTATGTAGGAATCTAGGTATGCCTGATAAAAGATATATGCATGAGTCTGTGCATGAATTATAAAACATGAATTTATGAGTCTATATACGCATGATAAAATATGTATGTAGGAGACCAAGTATGCTTGATGAAAGATGCGTGAATGAGTCTACGTATGCATGATAAAAGATGTAAATATGAGTCTATGTATATATAATGAAAGATGTATGTGTGAGTCTATTCATGGAAAGATGTTTGTATCAGTCTATGTATGCATAATGACAGATGTATGTATGAGTCTATGTATGCATGATGAAATATGTATTTATGAGTCTATGTATGCCTGATGAAGAGATGTCTGTATGAGTCTAAAAATGCATGATTGAAGATGTATGTATTAGTCTATGCATGTATGATGACAGATGTATGTATGAGTCTTCGTGTGCATGATGACAGATGTATGTATGAGTCTACGTATGCATGATGACAGATGTGTGTATGAGTCTATGTATGCATGATGAAAGATGTATTTATGAGTCTTTGCATGCATGATGAAAAGATGTCTGTATGAGTCTAAAAATGCATGACTGACGATATATGTATGAGTCTTTGCATGCATGATGACAGATATCTGTATGAGTAAACGTATGCATAATGAAAGGTGTTGGTGTGTGTACGAGTCTGCGTACAGATGATGCAAGATATATATATATATATATATATGTTCACACTATATGTCTGCAAGAGAAAAAATATGTACATGTACTTATGTCACTCCCGAAACACTGAAAGTATAACAACAAGACTTTGCGTCTTCAGGTGTTTTATTTCCACAACATAGTTGGGTATCTTATGAAAACAGCTTCCATAATCTTACACGGAAGTGAGACCAGGACGGCTGGTAACTCAGTCGCCTATCGTTTACCGAAATAAATGTGAATATCTATGTGAAATCCACCCCAGATGAACCTACGCTGATTGTGGTGAGTTGTATAGTCCAGGCTTGCCTCTGCGACAAAGAATGTGTATAATGGTCTACATTAGTAAAAAATCTTATCTTACTTCTGATTTCTTCTCGTCTCATCTCTACTCATCAACTCATTTCCTCTCTCATGCTTTCTTATCTTACTTCTTCTCATATCTTTTCCTCTCTTCTTTTCTAATTTTTTGTTCTTCTCATTTCGTCTCTTCTCATCTCTTCTTACTACTTCTCATTTCTTTTCCTCTCATCTCATCTTACTTATTCTCATTTCTTCTCCTCTCTTGTCTTCGCATTTTACTTCTTTTCATTGCTTCTCCTTTCATGTCTTCTCACCTTACTTCTCCTTTTTTTCCCATTCATCTCTTTTTATTTTACTTCTCATTTCTTCTCATCTCTCCTCGTCTTAGTTCTTCTCATTTATTCTCCTCACATCTGTCCTTATCTTACTTCTTCTAATTTCTTCTTCTCTCATCTCTTCTAATCTTACTTCTCATTTCTTCTCCCCTCATCTCTTGTCATCGTGCTTCTTATTTTCATTTCTTCTCCTCTCATCTCTTCCAATCTTACTTTTCTTTTCTCCTCCTTTCATGTCTTCACATCTTACTACTCCTTATTTCTTCTCTTGTCTTCTCATATTTCCTAATCTTACTTCTTCTCCTCTCATTCCTTCTCGTTTTATATCTTTTTTTTTCTTCTTTTCCCATTTCATCACTTCTCATATCTAATTACATCTCTTATCCTATCATCTCTTATCTTCTCATTTCTTCTAATTTCATCTCTTATTATCTCTCATGTCTTTTAATCACATAAGATTCTTCTGAACTCATTTCTTTTCCTCTCATCTCACACTATCTTTTTTTTTTTATAATCTCTCATTGGCCTTTTGGAAAAAAAAAGTTCGTTTGTGAGACAGAAGAAGACAAAACGAGACGATTCTTTCTGTCAGGACGTGACGTGATGTCAACACACGAGTTGCTGCATGTTGTTGGCAATCACAGATTGTGGAGAGTCATGATCGACCAGGTCATTCAGAAAGTCACGTGATGGTTTTATCGCAGTTGGTGTCTTCCAGTTGGCCTTTTTTCTGTGCCTAGTACTTCGAAAATGAGATTTTTTGGGGATGTCTCCATCTCCGTTGGAGATACATTGTCCAGCCATCGAAGACGCCTCTACGTGAGAAGAGAATTCACCTTGGCAATATCAGCACTTTCAAGCCCTGTTTTGTTTGTTATATAAGCCTTTTCTGTCATGCACAAGATTCTTCTCAGATAAATCAGATATGTGAACGAAATTCAAACATCAATCCTGTCGTGGGTATGTCCAGAAATCAGATCCACATATTAATTTGTTCACATTGCATTCTTTATAGGCCAGAACGTTTCTTCATTCTATTGGTATGTTATTCTCATAGATTCTCTTACCTTGGAAAGTGTTGTAGTTGCCTTTCTAGCGCGCCTGTTAATTAATGCCTCTATGGAAATATACGTTAATTTCAGGCACACAGGCTCACTTTATTTCATAAAAGGCACTTTTTTCAGGTACCCGTTTTAGGCATTGTTTTTTGTTAGGGTTACTGCATTAGACACTCAGAAGCATTTTTAGACAATGTTCGATGAATTGGATGCACTTTTGTTGTTGTTGTTGCTGTTTTTTTTTTTTCTGATGTAAAAGCCCAGTGAATGACACATGGCTCATAAAAACACTCACCTCTCTTGTCCTCGGCCTGTGTAAGAAATAGGAAGAAAATGACACATTAGTAGATAGTTTGTGTTGACTGTCGAAGACAGTGCTAAAGACAGTAATCGTGCCAGTTTTATAAACTAGCAGTATTTAAAATTCTAAAAATTAGAACTATAATGTAAGGAATTTCATTTAGGAGTAAAAGTGTCAAAGTGTAGAACTCAGAGCTATAAAGAACATGTCGAAAAGGCGAATAATGAGGGGTGTTTTATTTGAAGTCAGAGTGCGCCTTCCTGGCAGGCGAAAAACGAAGTGATTAAACACAAATAAGCCAATCCTGTAAAAGGGATGTGCTAAAGCTCCGGAACAAGACCGAAATCCAGAACTTGACAAACAAACGGAACTTTCCGCCGGAGTTTACTGCCGTTTGCTGCTAAGAGGATCAGAAGAAGAAGCCGTCTGGTGCGTAGTTGTATGTTTTTAGGCCATATGTCAAATACATTTTAAGTGTATTTCTCAGTCAAACATAGACGCACTCAAAGATGTATGTGTACACTGTAGTGAGTGTTGAAATCATATGAGTAGTAAGGGGTTCTCCACTGTGATAGGTTAAGTTCCAAGGGCCAGTTAGGAATGAATTAGCGGGGAAGCATAAACAAAGTACGCGTGCGATTTGTTGTTGGTGAGTGAGTGATTGGAAACAGAAAATAGTGGACGGATAAAAAGGATTGGAGTGGAGGAAATACGAATGATCGCTTGGTGTTCGACAGCTAAAGAGAAAGGTCTGGTAGACTGATAAGAGTGTCTGCCGTGAATCTTAAGAGCTGACAGTCGGATCAAATATCTGGTCTGCAGTATAAATGGCTGAACCGCGAGTGGTCGAGAATGCCTGTTGTACGGTGCATCCGAGACAAGGGACTTTTCTGAGTGGAACGTCTAGATTGAAAGGTAATTGAACTATTGTTAGCGCTGTAGATCTCAAGTGGTAGCAGTTATGGCATATTCCTTTGAAGAACGAATGAAGACAGAGGACAGCGAGAAACCGACGAACCTGTTGGAAAAGCAATAAACATATGTTCATGAAACTAAGTGTCGTCGCATTGTGTGTTAGCTACTAACTTAACCATTTGGGAGAGGGTATAGCTAAGGTTGCAGTTGGTCAAAAATTGACCCAAGGTGCCACATTACATACACATACACATACACACACGCACATACACACACAAATTTAGACAAACGCATGCACACAAGAAGGCGCACACACATATTCAAGTTCTTTATCTAAAAAAAAAAAAAAAGATTACCCTTGTTTCTGTGCCATTAGCGTTAGCATTGCCGGCGTCCACATTGCCGTCAGATGGGTCCCTTGTGGCTGCTATGAATCTGATCATTTCCACTGAACATCAAGAGAACTTATCAGAGAACAATTACAGTACCTTACAATGAGAAGCATTATAATTCCACAAAACGACCTGATCTATTGTGATCCCAGTATATGTGAATATGTCGGCTCTGTGGCTAAATCGTGTTCGATCCCAGTTGCGGGTCCATGCGTCTTGGGTTGGTTTCGACAGCGGTGTCAAGAAAGCCGACCGTTCAGCCCAGCAATGGCAAACTACTGGACGTAACTTTGCTTAGAAAAACCACACAACACCCAGGGGCTGCTGGGGTTGGTTCTGCGACGTCCTGTAAAGGATACGCAACTAACCTTATATGTAAATATATAAATGAAAAACAAAACACTACCTCTTAAGTTGGAGAGTCGCCGTGGCGGAGCGGCTAGACGCTCGCCTGCGGATGGGAAGGTCGTGGGTTCGCTCCCTGGCAGAGCCGGACTTTTTTCAGAAATGACCTTGGCTCCCAGGTCGACCCAGCCTTGAGTGGGTACCGGGTGCAGTCCCGGGAAGTAAAGGCGGCCGGCATGATGCTGACCACATCACCCATCTTATGCCGATCTGTCTATAAACTAAAGATCCCCTATGTGCCCTATACGCATACAGGCGCGAAAAAGGGTCCTTTAATTACTTACTTACCTCTTAAGTTAAATGTCAAACGCCGGGCCCGTTGAGGGCCATATGTGTCAAATGTTGTCCTCACACCACAACTAACTTGAGTCATTTAAAAAACAATATTATAAAATAGTTCATTTGCGCGGGCCGTAGGTGTGCTTGCAAAGGGCCACCTGCCGCCCACCGGCCGCCAGTTTGTCATGTTTCGTGCAGGTCAGTGGGAGCCAGTCCTATTCTAGGTTTGAGGATACTTGTCATGTGAGGCATTACTTGCTGGCGGTCTATTGCGTAGACTACAGAGATAGACTACAGATAGACCACAAATAGACTACAGATAGACTTCAGATAGACTTCAGATAGACTTCAGATAGACTAAAGATAAACTGTTGATAGCCTACAGAGATAGACTAAAGATTATTTACAGACTACAGAGATAGACTAACAAATATACTATATAGATAGATTACAAAGAGAAAACTACAGAGATAGACTACAGAGGTAGGCGACAGCGATAGACTACAGATAGACTACAGATAGACTACATAGATAGACTACATAGACATAATACAGAGGTTGACTACATGTAAACTGCAGATGGTCTAACGACATGGACTACAGACAGACTACAGATATGGACTACCGATAGACTACATGTAGACTACAGAGACAGACTACAGATTAGGAAGAAGAAAGAAGAAGAAGAAGAAGAAGAAGAAGAAGAAGAAGAAGAAGAAGAAGAAGAAGAAGAACAAGAACAAGAACAAGAACAAGAAGAACAAGAAGAGCAAGAAGAGCAAGAAGAACAAGAAAAAGAAGAACAAGAAGAACAAGAAGAAGAAGAACAAGAAGTAGTAGTAGTAGCAGAGGAAGAAATAGAAGAAGAAATAGAAGAAGAAGCAGTAGCAGTGGGCAGCTGCATCACTAGCAACACAACAAGCGGGTTACCTGTATTTGTGTTAATTCGTTTCAGAGCTTCACTAACTGCTAAAATGGCTGCCACGATAACGTCTGTGGACTCTCCGTCACCTGGCGAATATGTCAGAATCCTATTGCAAAATTTATTTGTAATAGGGTAATCATAAATTAATCCCAACATTATTATTATTATTATTATTATTATTGAATATTATTATTGTGTAAACTGTGCGTATGTATTAGATTCACCAACAGAGAGATAATCAATTACAGTTTAAAGTGGAAAAAAGAATTGACAGATTGTTTCCTACATCCTAGCAAAGCACAGACAACAGGTGACCGACCTTCCCGACTGAGTCCCTCCTCTCGTAGACTGTACAGCAGCTGTAACGCCATCCCAAGGTACTTCGCCTCGACTGTCAGTGGATCTGGTGGAGCAAAAAACGACTAGTTCATATACGAGTTAACTAGACAAACTACGCTAGACTGTGGCGTGTAAAGTCGAGTCTTGAAGTTTTAAACAAAAAATAGATATTTCTAAAACTAGGCGTCAAGTGATATCAGGGAATAAGAGACGTTAGATGGGTATAATCCTAAAAATATATTGTCATCCCTTTGTGGATGCAATTTTTCGTTATTTGAAGCCCTACCCTGGCTCTTGCTAGCTGCCGCAATATACAAATATGGTCTAATTGCTGAACGCGGTTTCTGTGACCTCTCCACAGGGGTCCCTCATCCACATGGTGGCACTTTGTGTCATCGGTTGTTTATGGCTGGTGTAATGTCCTGGTGGGGTAAAAGAAGATAGATATCTATATAATCCTGTACTGTATGAGTCTTTGCATGGTTCTCTATCATCGCTTTGCTAAAAAAAAAAAAAAAAAGCATTCCATAAACGCCCCGATCCATCTTGAGTAGCCATAGCTGAGTTCCAGTACTAAAAATGTCATTTTTACATTTTTTATCCTAATTTTTAGGGGGTTCGCCTTGTCTTTCCTTTCACTGAGTAAGTACTAGCTCTCTTAGCCCAGTGTTTTCCAACCTGGTGGCACTCTTAGGGAACGCGATAGGTTTTAAAAGGTGGGGTGGGGGGGGGGGGGGGGGCCTCAAAAAATGTTTAACTGTATTCATGATATTAATTTTTGAGTTTCATCGTTAATAAAATAATAAACGTAACACTATTCATAAAACTTCACAAGCCAAGAACATTTCTGTTTTCATAAGCAGGTTGTTTATCTACAGGTAAAAATCGAATTAATATGAAAGCAAAGGCATTTTATTGATTATGAACACGTTTTAACCAAATCGAGAACAAAAGAAAACAAAGAAAAAAGAGGAAGGAGAAAAAGAAGAAAAGAAGGAGGAAGAAAAAGAAAAGAAGAAGAAGAAGAAGAAGAAGACGACGAAGAGTGAGGAGGAATATTAGGAGGAGAATGAGGACAAGGGGGATGAGGAGAAAGAGAAGGAGGGGAATAAGGAAGAGGGGGAAGAGAAGGAGGAGAAGAATTAGAGGAAGAAGAAGAAAGGGGAGGAAGAAGACGAGACGGAAGAAGGAGAAAAGAAAGGACGAAAATGACAAAGAAGAAGAGGATGATGATGAAACCAACTGACCCTCAACAACGATGACTCCGTTTAATGTAATCTCGTACCGGGTCGCAACGTCCTCGACTAGGCTTCTGACGTCATCTCGGGAAACTGCAGACGATCGACAGAAGATTGTAAATGGAATGATCACACACAAAAAATACGTGAGGACGATTAACAGTAAGACCTCGTTAACACAAACTTGCTTTATAAAAACACCAAATTACCATGAGTAAATTTTGGACCCAACAGGGATGTCTTATTATTATGAGACCCCAGTTAGCCGGCATAGTTTTTTTCAACATGATTTCTTGGAATTCGTGTTTTTTAAAAAAGGTTTTATTGTGTATAGCAGGGTCTTAAATATGGCCTAACAGCTGCACGGGTTTTCCCGGACCTCTCCACGAGTGATATCATCCGATGGTGGCACTTTGCTTCACCGGGTGTTTGTGGCTTGTGAGATGGCCTGGTGTGGTACAATTGACCTTCTTACCTACATGTGTACCCATGATTACTATAGGAAGACACCACACCCATGACTACTATAGAATAAATCAGTACATGCTCGTTAATAGGAAGACTCATACATACCCATGTCTACTAAAAGACGAATCATACATACCCATGTCTACTAAAAGACGAATCATACATACCCATGTCTACTAAAAGACGAATCATACATACCCATGTTTACTAAAGGACGAATCATACATACCCATCTTTACTAAAGGACGAATCATACATACCCATGTTTACTAAAGGACGAATCATACATACCCATGTTTACTAAATGACGAATCATACATACCCATGTTTACTAAAAGACGAATCATACATACCCATGTTTACTAAAGGACGAATCATACATACCCATGTTTACTAAAGGACGAATCATACATACCCATGTTTACTAAAGGACGAATCATACATACCCATGTTTACTAAAGGACGAATCATACATACCCATGTTTACTAAAGGACGAATCATACATACCCATGTTTACTAAAGGACGAATCATACATACCCATGTTTACTAAAGGACGAATCATACATACCCATGTTTACTAAAGGACGAATCATACATACCCATGTTTACTAAAGGACGAATCATACATACCCATGTTTACTAAAGACGAATCATAATCATACATACCCATGTTTACTAAAGGACGAATCATACATACCCATGTTTACTAAAGGACGAATCATACATACCCATGTTTACTAAAGGACGAATCATACATACCCATGTTTACTAAAGGACGAATCATACATACCCATGTTTACTAAAGGACGAATCATACATACCCATGTTTACTAAAGGACGAATCATACATACCCATGTTTACTAAAGGAAGAATCATACATACCCATGTTTACTAAAGGACGAATCATACATACCCATGTTTACTAAAGGACGAATCATACATACCCATGTTTACTAAAGGACGAATCATACATACCCATGTTTACTAAAGGACGAATCATACAACCCATGTTTACTAAAGGACGAATCATACATACCCATACAAAGGACCCATACCCATTTTACTAAAGGACGAATCATACATACCCATGTTTACTAAAGGACGAATCATACATACTCATGCTTACTAAAGGACGAATCATACATACCCATGTTTACTGAAGGACGAATCATACATACCCATGTTTACTAAAGGACGAAACAACACATACCCCTGTTTACTAAAGGACGAATCATACATACCCATGTTTACCAAAGGACGAATCATACATACCCATGTTTACTAAAGGACGAATCATACATACCCATGTTTACTAAAGGACGAATCATACATACCCATGTTTACTAAAGGACGAATCATACATACCCATGTTTACTAAAGGACGAATCATACATACCCATGTTTACTAAAGGACGAATCATACATACCCATGTTTACTAAAGGACGAATCATACATACCCATGTTTACTAAAGGACGAATCATACATACCCATGTTTACTAAAGGACGAATCATACATACCCATGTTTACTAAAGGACGAATCATACATACCCATGTTTACTAAAGGACGAATCATACATACCCATGTTTACTAAAGGACGAATCATACATACCCATGTTTACTAAAGGACGAATCATACATACCCATGTTTACTAAAGGACGAATCATACATACCCATGTTTACTAAAGGACGAATCATACATACCCATGTTTACTAAAGGACGAATCATACATACCCATGTTTACTAAAGGACGAATCATACATACCCATGTTACTAAAAGGACGAATCATACATACCCATGTTTACTAAAGGACGAATCATACATACCCATGTTTACTAAAGGACGAATCATACATACCCATGTTTACTAAAGGACGAATCATACATACCCATGTTTACTAAAGGACGAATCATACATACCCATGTTTACTAAAGGACGAATCATACATACCCATGTTTACTAAAGGACGAATCATACATACCCATGTTTACTAAAGGACGAATCATACATACCCATGTTTACTAAAGGACGAATCATACATACCCATGTTTACTAAAAGGACGAATCATACATACCCATGTTTACTAAAGGACGAATCATACATACCCATGTTTACTAAAGGAATCATAATACATACATACCCATGTTTACTAAAGGACGAATCATACATACCCATGTTTACTAAAGGACGAATCATACATACCCATGTTTACTAAAGGACGAATCATACATACCCATGTTTACTAAAGGACGAATCATACATACCCATGTTTACTAAAGGACGAATCATACATACCCATGTTTACTAAAGGACGAATCATACATACCCATGTTTACTAAAGGACGAATCATACATACCCATGTTTACTAAAGGACGAATCATACATACCCATGTTTACTAAAGGACGAATCATACATACCCATGTTTACTAAAGGACGAATCATACATACCCATGTTTACTAAAGGACGAATCATACATACCCATGTTTACATACTAAAGGTTTACTAAAGGACGAATCATACATACCCATGTTTACTAAAGGACGAATCATACATACCCATGTTTACTAAAGGACGAATCATACATACCCATGTTTACTAAAGGACGAATCATACATACCCATGTTTACTAAAGGACGAATCATACATACCCATGTTTACTAAAGGACGAATCATACATACCCATGTTTACTAAAGGACGAATCATACATACCCATGTTTACTAAAGGACGAATCATACATACCCATGTTTACTAAAGGACGAATCATACATACCCATGTTTACTAAAGGACGAATCATACATACATACCCATGTTTATACCCCATGTTTACTAAAGGACGAATCATACATACCCATGTTTACTAAAGGACGAATCATACATACCCATGTTTACTAAAGGACGAATCATACATACCCATGTTTACTAAAGGACGAATCATACATACCCATGTTTACTAAAGGACGAATCATACATACCCATGTTTACTAAAGGACGAATCATACATACCCATGTTTACTAAAGGACGAATCATACATACCCATGTTTACTAAAGGACGAATCATACATACCCATGTTTACTAAAGGACGAATCATACATACCCATGTTTACTAAAGGACGAATCATACATACCCATGTTTACTAAAGGACGAATCATACATACCCATGTTTACTAAAGGACGAATCATACATACCCATGTTTACTAAAGGACGAATCATACATACCCATGTTTACTAAAGGACGAATCATACATACCCATGTTTACTAAAGGACGAATCATACATACCCATGTTTACTAAAGGACGAATCATACATACCCATGTTTACTAAAGGACGAATCATACATACCCATGTTTACTAAAGGACGAATCATACATACCCATGTTTACTAAAGGACGAATCATACATACCCATGTTTACTAAAGGACGAATCATACATACCCATGTTTACTAAAGGACGAATCATACATACCCATGTTTACTAAAGGACGAATCATACATACCCATGTTTACTAAAGGACGAATCATACATACCCATGTTTACTAAAGGACGAATCATACATACCCATGTTTACTAAAGGACGAATCATACATACCCATGTTTACTAAAGGACGAATCATACATACCCATGTTTACTAAAGGACGAATCATACATACCCATGTTTACTAAAGGACGAATCATACATACCCATGTTTACTAAAGGACGAATCATACATACCCATGTTTACTAAAGGACGAATCATACATACCCATGTTTACTAAAGGACGAATCATACATACCCATGTTTACTAAAGGACGAATCATACATACCCATGTTTACTAAAGGACGAATCATACATACCCATGTTTACTAAAGGACGAATCATACATACCCATGTTTACTAAAGGACGAATCATACATACCCATGTTTACTAAAGGACGAATCATACATACCCATGTTTACTAAAGGACGAATTATACATACCTGTGACTACTATAGGACGACTCATACATACCCATGTTTACTAAAGGACGAATCATACATACCCATGTTTACTAAAGGACGAATCATACATACCCATGTTTACTAAAGGACGAATCATACATACCCATGTTTACTAAAGGACGAATCATACATACCCATGTTTACTAAAGGACGAATCATACATACCCATGTTTACTAAAGGACGAATCATACATACCCATGTTTACTAAAGGACGAATCATACATACCCATGTTTACTAAAGGACGAATCATACATACCCATGTTTACTAAAGGACGAATCATACATACCCATGTTTACTAAAGGACGAATCATACATACCCGTGTTTACTAAAGGACGAATCATACATACCCATGTTTACTAAAGGACGAATCATACATACCCATGTTTACTAAAAGACGAATCATACATACCCATGACGAATCATACATACCCATGTTTACTAAAGGACGAATCATACATACCCATGTTTACTAAAGGACGAATCATACATACCCATGTTTACTAAAGGACGAATCATACATACCCATGTTTACTAAAGGACGAATCATACATACCCATGTTTACTAAAGGACGAATCATACATACCCATGTTTACTAAAGGACGAATCATACATACCCATGTTTACTAAAGGACGAATCATACATACCCATGTTTACTAAAGGACGAATCATACATACCCATGTTTACTAAAGGACGAATCATACATACCCATGTTTACTAAAGGACGAATCATACATACCCATGTTTACTAAAGGACGAATCATACATACCCATGTTTACTAAAGGACGAATCATACATACCCATGTTTACTAAAGGACGAATCATACATACCCATGTTTACTAAAGGACGAATCATACATACCCATGTTTACTAAAGGACGAATCATACATACCCATGTTTACTAAAGGACGAATCATACATACCCATGTTTACTAAAGGACGAATCATACATACCCATGTTTACTAAAGGACGAATCATACATACCCATGTTTACTAAAGGACGAATCATACATACCCATGTTTACTAAAGGACGAATCATACATACCCATGTTTACTAAAGGACGAATCATACATACCCATGTTTACTAAAGGACGAATCATACATACCCATGTTTACTAAAGGACGAATCATACATACCCATGTTTACTAAAGGACGAATCATACATACCCATGTTTACTAAAGGACGAATCATACATACCCATGTTTACTAAAGGACGAATCATACATACCCATGTTTACTAAAGGACGAATCATACATACCCATGTTTACTAAAGGACGAATCATACATACCCATGTTTACTAAAGGACGAATCATACATACCCATGTTTACTAAAGGACGAATCATACATACCCATGTTTACTAAAGGACGAATCATACATACCCATGTTTACTAAAGGACGAATCATACATACCCATGTTTACTAAAGGACGAATCATACATACCCATGTTTACTAAAGGACGAATCATACATACCCCATGTTTACTAAAGGACGAATCATACATACCCATGTTTACTAAAGGACGAATCATACATACCCATGTTTACTAAAGGACGAATCATACATACCCATGTTTACTAAAGGACGAATCATACATACCCATGTTTACTAAAGGACGAATCATACATACCCATGTTTACTAAAGGACGAATCATACATACCCATGTTTACTAAAGGACGAATCATACATACCCATGTTTACTAAAGGACGAATCATACCATACCCATGTTTACTAAAAAGACGAATCATACATACCCATGTTACATACTAAAGGACGAATCATACATACCCATGTTTACTAAAGGACGAATCATACATACCCATGTTTACTAAAGGACGAATCATACATACCCATGTTTACTAAAGGACGAAATCATACATACCCCATGTTTACTAAAGGACGAATCATACATACCCGTGTTTACTAAAGGACGAATCATACATACCCATGTTTACTAAAGGACGAATCATACATACCCATGTTTACTAAAGGACGAATCATACATACCCATGTTTACTAAAGGACGAATCATACATACCCATGTTTACTAAAGGACGAATCATACATACCCATGTTTACTAAAGGACGAATCATACATACCCATGTTTACTAAAGGACGAATCATACATACCCATGTTTACTAAAGGACGAATCATACATACCCATGTTTACTAAAGGACGAATCATACATACCCATGTTTACTAAAGGACGAATCATACATACCCATGTTTACTAAAGGACGAATCATACATACCCATGTTTACTAAAGGACGAATCATACATACCCATGTTTACTAAAGGACGAATCATACATACCCATGTTTACTAAAGGACGAATCATACATACCCATGTTTACTAAAGGACGAATCATACATACCCATGTTTACTAAAGGACGAATCATACATACCCATGTTTACTAAAGGACGAATCATACATACCCATGTTTACTAAAGGACGAATCATACATACCCATGTTTACTAAAGGACGAATCATACATACCCATGTTTACTAAAGGACGAATCATACATACCCATGTTTACTAAAGGACGAATCATACATACCCATGTTTACTAAAGGACGAATCATACATACCCATGTTTACTAAAGGACGAATCATACATACCCATGTTTACTAAAGGACGAATCATACATACCCATGTTTACTAAAGGACGAATCATACATACCCATGTTTACTAAAGGACGAATCATACATACCCATGTTTACTAAAGGACGAATCATACATACCCATGTTTACTAAAGGACGAATCATACATACCCATGTTTACTAAAGGACGAATCATACATACCCATGTTTACTAAAGGACGAATCATACATACCCATGTTTACTAAAGGACGAATCATACATACCCATGTTTACTAAAGGACGAATCATACATACCCATGTTTACTAAAGGACGAATCATACATACCCATGTTTACTAAGGACGAATCATACATAAACTAAAGACGAATCATACATACCCATGTTTACTAAAGGACGAATCATACATACCCATGTTTACTAAAGGACGAATCATACATACCCATGTTTACTAAAGGACGAATCATACATACCCATGTTTACTAAAGGACGAATCATACATACCCATGTTTACTAAAGGACGAATCATACATACCCATGTTTACTAAAGGACGAATCATACATACCCATGTTTACTAAAGGACGAATCATACATACCCATGTTTACTAAAGGACGAATCATACATACCCATGTTTACTAAAGGACGAATCATACATACCCATGTTTACTAAAGGACGAATCATACATACCCATGTTTACTAAAGGACGAATCATACATACCCATGTTTACTAAAGGACGAATCATACATACCCATGTTTACTAAAGGACGAATCATACATACCCATGTTTACTAAAGGACGAATCATACATACCCATGTTTACTAAAGGACGAATCATACATACCCATGTTTTTACTAAAGGACGAATCATACATACCCATGTTTACTAAAGGACGAATCATACATACCCATGTTTACTAAAGGACGAATCATACATACCCATGTTACTACCCGAATCATACATACCCATGTTTACTAAAGGACGAATCATACATACCCATGTTTACTAAAGGACGAATCATACATACCCATGTTTACTAAAGGACGAATCATACATACCCATGTTTTACTAAAGGACGAATCATACATACCCATGTTTACTAAAGGACGAATCATACATACCCATGTTTACTAAAGACGACGAACATACATACATACCCATGTACCCGTGTTTACTAAAGGACGAATCATACATACCCATGTTTACTAAAGGACGAATCATACATACCCATGTTTACTAAAGGACGAATCATACATACCCATGTTTACTAAAGGACGAATCATACATACCCATGTTTACTAAAGGATGAATCATACATACCCATGTTTACTAAAGGACGAATCATACATACCCATGTTTACTAAAGGACGAATCATACATAAAGGACGTGTTACATACTAAAAGACGAATCATACATACCCATGTTTACTAAAGGACGAATCATACATACCCATGTTTACTAAAGGACGAATCATACATAACCATGTCTACTAAAAGACGAATCATACATACCCATGACTAATCATACGAATCATACCCGTGTTTACTAAAGGACGAATCATACATACCCATGTTTACTAAAGGACGAATCATACATACCCATGTTTACTAAAGGACGAATCATACATACCCATGTTTACTAAAGGACGAATCATACATACCCATGTTTACTAAAGGACGAATCATACATAACCATGTCTACTAAAAGACGAATCATACATACCCATGACTACTATAGGACGACTCATACATACCCATGTTTACTAAATGACGAATCATACATACCCATGTTTACTAAAGGACGAATCATACATACCCATGTTTACTAAAGGACGAATCATACATACCCATGTTTACTAAAGGACGAATCATACATACCCATGTTTACTAAAGGACGAATCATACATACCCATGTTTACTAAAGGACGAATCATACATACCCATGTTTACTAAAGGACGAATCATACATACCCATGTTTACTAAAGGACGAATCATACATACCCATGTTTTTACCCATCATACATACCCCATGTTTAAAAAGACGATTCAAACATACCCGTGTCTACTATAGGACGACTAATACATACCCATGTTTACTAAAGGACGAATCATACATACACATGTTTACTAAAGGACGAATCATACATACCCATGCCTACTAAAAGACGAATCATACATAACCATGACTACTATAGGACGACTCATAAATACCCATGTTTACTAAATAACGAATCATACATACCCATGCCTACTAAAAGACGAATCATACATACCCATGACTACTATAGGACGACTCATACATATCCATGTTTACTAAAGGATGAATACATACCCAGTCCATGAATAGTACATACCCGTACTACTAAAGACGATTCATACATACCCGTGACTACACTATAGGACGACTCATACATGCCCATGTCTGCTGTAGGATGAATCATACATACCCGTGACTACCACATGATGAATTATACAAACCTCTGACTACTACTATAGGATGATTCATACAAGCCCATGCCTGTTATAAGACGAATCATACATACCCGTGACTACTACAGGGAAACGCGTACGTACCATTGGCTTTTCTTGCCTGAAGAATGCTACCAGCCAGAGCTTGGAGAGTGTCTGCAGCCCCGGATAAATCATCGGCGCTGATGCCTGGGGAGAACAATTGTGCATATGTTTGGGTTCTTAATTTATAACGTACCCCAAACAGGAAATCCCCGTGGGAAATCAACAGCAGACCTGACAGTCCTTTATTTCAAGGGGTGCAATGTGCTGTTGTGTGGTGCTTTTTTTTGAGTGTTCATCTAGTGTCTTCTAATCCTAACCCTAACCCTAACCCTAACCCTAAACTTGGCTGTAGAGAAATCGCGAGAAACTACAACCTGAACACCCTAGAATTTATTGGGAATGTCTCCCGTGACGTTGTCGTGGCGTCAGGGATAAGTTATAAATTAAGTACCAATGTTGTTCGTCCATCACAAGTGGTGACCAGTCCTTTCATTCGCTACGTTTGAGGGAGGTTTACTGATGCGGAAAGGTGCCTGATAAGACCAATTCTGATACAGAAAGATCTTGCCATTGGGGACACTGGATATGGGACTCGTGAATTTGAAAGTTCCAGCTCGTTATCGTTCCTGTTTTTTTTTTTTTTTTTAAATGCTGCTGCTTTTCCTGCTTTTTTCATAAACCGCCATTCCTTGACAATGAGACGAACGATCGTGTGCACTGGTCTCTCATATATCGGAATTGAGGTAAAATTTCTTCACTGAGATCTCTAGATTGTAATGGAGACGTTTCTTTTGTCCACAGCATTGTATGTGATTACTACTGTTTGGTAACAGGACCGCTACCACTGTTAGTAATCCTAATACATAATGTAAAGTAAAAGTTAAAAAAAGTAATAAATAATGTATTTATATTATTGTGATATTTAATGGCAAGCAGGTTTAGAAGTAATGTTATCGGTAGTTGTAATGTTAACACTTGTAGGGATAGAAGTTTCAGAAGCAGTAGTTGTAATAAACATAACAGTACAGGTTCTAATAATATTAGTATCGGTACTGTAAGCTGTAATAGTCATTAAAAGAGTAACCTTATTAGTATTAGTTGTAATAGTGGCGGTGGTGGTAGTGCTATATTTACTACTGGTACTGATAGTAGATATAGTAGTAGGAACATCTTTTATTGAAGTTGATGTTGTGGAAGAAGCCGAAGAAGAAGTCGAAGACGAAGAAGAAGGAGGAGGAGGAGAAGAAGAAGAAGAGAAGAAGAAGAAGAAGAGAAGAAGAAGAAGAAGAAGAAGAAGAAGAAGAAGAAGAAGAAGAAGAAGAAGAAGAAGAAGAAGAAGAAGAAGAAGAAAAGAAGAAGAAGAGAGAAGAAGAAGAAGAAGAAGAAGAAGAAGAAGAAGAAGAAGAAGAAAAAGAAGAAGAAGAAGAAGAAGAAGAAGAGAAAGAAGAAGAAGAAGAAGACAAGAAGAAGAAAAAGAAGAAGAGGAAGGACAAGAAGAAGAAAAAGAAGAAGAAGAAGAAGAAGAAGAAGAAGAAGAAAAAGAAGAAGAAAGACAAGAAAGAAGAAAGAAGAAGAAGAAGAAGAAGAAGAAGAAGAAGAAGAAGAAGAAGAAGAAGAAGAAGAAGAAGAAGAAGAAGAAGAAGAAGAAGAAGAAGAAGGGGAAGAAGAAGAAAGAAGAAAAATAAGTGGAAAAAGAAGTGGAAGAAGAAGAACAAGAAGAAGAATGAAAAGGAGGCGGAGAAGGAGGGTGACCATAAGAAGTGGAAGAAGAAGAACAAGAAGAAGAATAAAAAGGAGGCGGAGAAGGAGGGTGAGGAGGAGGAAGAAGAAGAAGAAAAAGAAGAAGAAGAGAAAGAAGAAGAACAAGGAGCAGAGGAGAAGAAAAAGAAGTAGAAAAAAGCTTCACCTAGAAATATCCCTACCTTCAGTTGCATTTTTAATTGTCTCATTGATTAGCTGGAACAAGTCCTCTGTAGTCGCAGATGGAGCTGCTTCATTTGTGTCTTCTCTCTTTGAGATAATTGGTGGACCCCACCAATGTCCACCCCAAGTCGGATGAAAGGTTGCGCGAAACTAGACGGTAAAATAAATCATAGAGACTTTTCGTCACGATCTGGTTATATTATGACTGATTAAACGATAGGAAGTTTATCTTACTCGTAGTGTCGTTAAGTCGAAGTCGACTTGATTACGTCCCAGTTTTGCTGGAATATAAAATGTACATTGCATTATGGGGGAATGCAAAGAGGGAAGCAGCAACGACATTCACCACTTTAAATCCTCATTGATCACTGGAATCCTGAAATGGCTGGGGCATAACGGATCTAAACGCTCATCGATCATAATACAGGTACTAAAACGTCATGTCATTCTTTCAATCACTGTGTCAGTCAGCCGTCTGTCAGTTATCCAGTCAGTCAGTCATTTAGTCAGTCTGTCCACAGTTAGTGATCTAGTCAGTCAGTCAGTCATTCGGTCAGTCAGTCACTCGGTCAGAAATAATTCAACACTTACCCCTGTAGCCACAACCAACAGAGAGCAGAATACCAAGCGTTGCATGATTTCAGATATCAGCTTGCATTGACTATGTTTTTATGTAAAACAAAGTGTGATATCCATTTTCTCCACTTGTTGACCTTACAAGATGACTTCCTGTTTAGAACCGATCACTAGGCAACATACTCGGTAGCTAGCCCCTCATGCAAGCCGTGAGAGGAACACGACTTCGTGAGTATACAGTTTGGAGCGTGCTTTGGACACTTAAATCGCAGGCATTTTGCATGATGCGTAACAGCAGAAGCTGAGTATATCAAACAAATCTGAAGCTGCGGGACACGTTGGTTTTCATATGACAGGATACAAAATCGTCACACACACAAACGGAGATTGGTTCTAACACTTTATCTATGGGTGGACAGGCTGAGTAGAGAGCGAAATGTATTTGTCAATAAGGAAGCTGGATTTGTTGCGACGGGACAGATCACTGCTGGCATTACTTTTGCTGAAACTATTACTTTTGCTGAAGCTATTACTTTTGCTGAAACTATTACTTTTGCTGAAACTATTACTTTTGCTGAAACTATTACTTTTGCTAAAACTATTGCTTTTGCTGAAGCTATTACTTTTACTAAAACTATTACTTTTGCTGAAGCTATTACTTTTGCTGAAACTATTACTTTTGCTGAAACTATTACTTTTGCGGAAACTATTACTTTTGCTAAAACTATTACTTTTTCTGAAGCTATTACTTTTACTGAAACTATTACTTTTGCTGAAACTATTACTTTTACAACATGTCTCTTCTGAACATTTCCCACATTCTGTTAGCACAAGTCTTTATTGTCGGTGACAATAACCGTACAATTTTAATTTGTTGTGATGCAAAAGTATAGTATTTATGGCCACATTTACCTGTATATTACAACTGTTTTCCTGCTCATTACAGTGGTTCGTGAAGGTAAATCTTGCTATGGTATAATATGTGGATTGATGTAAGAAGATTAATTAGGAAATTTTTAATGTATTGAAAATGGTTTATTTCACATAGATGATATTTGCATACATACAAAACAGTCATCAGAACATCTTGAAACCTTGCACAAAGCCTTTAAATATATCCGCAGACATAATCTGAAAGTAAATCTATTAAAATCAGAATTCTGTTACACACGCAAACAATATTTTTGGACATGTCGTGTTTGAAGAGAATTTTCAGACTGATGAGAGTATTGTGTCAACAATTCTGAAATTTGAAAAACCTAAGACCAAACAACACAGTTACAGTCGTTATTAGGTCTGGTAAATTCTTATGCCAAATTGATCCCAGAAAAAGCTGGATTAACAGCACCTTTATCAGAACTACTCAAGAAGGACCACTTCAGAAAAACAGGTTCGGGAGGGAGTCATTATACTATAAAAATAAAATTAAATATATTTTTGCAACACCACCAGTTTCAAGACAGCTGATTTAGGCAGAAAATTGTATTTACAGATGCAAGTTGTCATACGGTAGCTGCGTTGGTAGCTCAGTAATACTCAGATACTTTATTACCTATTATTTATCTATCACAGAAATTGACAACTACACAACACAAGGACCGAACATTTGAGAAAGAAGCGTTAGCAGTAGTGATAAGCTTTAACAATTTTAAATACCTACTGGGTAGAGAATTTATTATACTCACAAATAACTTGGGTCTTACAAAATTGTTGACAATGGATGCAACAAATAATTCCAGAGTTTATAGATGGGCATTGTTGATATCTCAATTTCAATAGAAGATAGAACACAAAAAAACACATTGAAAATCACTTACCAGATGTATTGTCAAAACTAAATATTAAAAAAAAAAAAAAAAATAAAACTGAAGATTCGTAAGTTTATTTATTGTAACAAATTCTATATTGGAAAAGTGACATTCAATTACATGTAAAAGTAAACAGTAAACTGATTGAAATGTTGAATGAATTTTATGAGATATGTTAATGAATTATTTTTTTAATTTGTTCGTATCTATTTGTAACTAACATGATGGACAAGACAATTACTTTAATGGCAGATGGTAACAGAGAATGAATGAAATTGTGACTATTATGATGCGATATGATGATGTAAATAATTTTTGATGACGGTGTAAATGTTTTTCAAGATTATGCTCACTCAGAGAATTTGATCATTTACACTGACGGGTCAGTGTCAAGAGGCAAAAGCTTCTTGGCAAAAGGTCATGGTCGACATTTGGTGCAGGAGAGCCTAGCATATGACACCACAACATCCAGCTTAAGAATGGAGGTGGAGGCGGTCACTGCAGCTTTCCGCTGGCTAGAGAACACGGCACATATATGCATCGTGATTGTAACTGATTAAGAAAGCATGCTGAGGAAAATCAGAACAGTTATGCTTCGGGCAGGGGGGCATGCTTCGCTGCGGAGGACACGGGTGAGAAGTATTGTCTGGATTTTTTCACCGGGCACGCCAGTGTGTTGGGAAATGAACAGGCGGACAGACTGGCTGGCTCTGCAGAACTTGGTGGAATACTGATACATGATAAGGCTGACGTGGTTAGTGCCTTGTGGGAGAGCGTGTACAGTTCGGAGGAGCAGATGGATCACCACAGTCTGGTGAGACTGATGCAGCGGGGAGTGACGAGAGGTTCTGGCGGATGCTCGAGGCTCAGAGGGCAGGCAAGACGGACGTTTAATCAGAATGCTACTGGCACTATTAGTATCGGAACTCTTCGCTGGCTGCTGGAGATGGGGATGGAGCGATTATGGAATTGGCCCCAAGTGCTGTGATGTCGGTTCTTGAATCAAACCAAACCGAACCAAACATAGATAATAAGATACTTTAAAGGAAAGTGAAGAGGTACCATATTATACAAGAAAATGATGGGTAATTAACACCACTAAAACTATGGGAATTGGGTCAAGTTCCTTGTTGGGGAACATAAAGATTAAATTGAGACAGATGCCAGCGGGAGTGACCCAGTGAGTATATATAGTGAGGGTGGGAATTTGCGGGTTTTAAATTTCTGTTCCATAGCCATTATGGACTTTCTCACCAAATTAGGAGGTGCCTTGGTGTTGTTCTGTCTTGAGGCAGACTGTGGGATTGTATGGGAAATGCGCAGAGCCTATATGGTCTTCCACACTTTAAAGGAGGGTCTTGGAGCTGTTGATGCCATTAAGCTGTATGGTGCTCACTGGGTACAACGACTGGTGATGTTACAAGTGGAAAGTGCTAAGGCAATGTAAAGGTAAGCAATAACCGATACCGGGAACAAATAGTAGGTAATATCCACATCATTGCATTGAAGTAACCCCGATATATTAAAGCATAAATATATGGGAATGGAAGGGGAAAAATTGCGGGTGGAGAAGAACTGCAACGACGGGAATTCCCAAGGAATCCCACAGAGTTTCCCAATTGAGGCAACAAGTTTAGAGGGCCAGGAAACGAGAGACACGAAGGGAAAACTGGTGTCCTGAAGGTTGCGTGTTCTGTGAGCAGATGTAAGGAAAAAGTATGCAGATTGGAACGTACGTTTTTCAAAACGTTTAAGGCTTGGAGATCATGAAGTGCTCCTGGATCTTTTTTAATGTGTGCTTTTCAAGTTTCAACAACAAGGAAACACTTTGTGAAGTTCAACTTTGTGACTTTGAAGAAGAGGGACTCTTGTCTTCACTGGGATCATATAGATAGGTCTCTATTACAGGTTCTGAGGTTACAACGTTCCGGAATTGTTTTTCTCTTTTTTTTTTTCGGTGGCTTGCCGCTAATACTAATATCAATTTGGGGCTATAGTGATTATGACATCAGATCAATGATAGTCCAGTGGATAGTTTGACTATCAGAGACATTATTTATGTCTTTCTGTTTGTGTACGTCCTCTCACCTCTTCTGTCACCAAGCTCCCTTCTGTTGTGATATTTTTAATACATGTTGCAATTTGAATTTAAAAGAAACTTAATTGGTGTCTGTCATTCCTGGATTCCATTTTATTCAGTTTATACAGTATTTGACTAGGATAGTGAAACTATTTAGAGTGAGGGCTTTGCAAGTGGTGAGGGTGTCTGTCCAAGCTGTGCTCTGGGTTACCCTAGATACCGATAACCTGAGCCACCTCATCTGGAGCGGTGTAGGGTGGTTGTTGGAGTTGCGGGCTTGCCCCCTCGATCAATACGAGCCACCATTACAACAAAATTCAAATTTCAGAGTGTCAGTGCACCTCCTTATATATTGAGGAAAGACACATGTTATGATATTTTTCACTACCGTCTTTAACGGTCCGATGGACTTGATTGGTAAAAAAAACTTTTTTTAAGTAATCAGTCACTGATTTTTAAAAAAAAATATGTACTACTATGAAACAGAAAAAAAAAACTGGTTTATCGGAATGATCTCACTCTCCCCCACCCTCTTTCTCTCTCTCCTCTCTCTCTCTGTCTCTTATCTCTTTATCTCTCCTCTCTCTCCCTTCTCTCTCTCTCTCTCTCTCTCTCTCTCTCTCTCTCTCTCTCTCTCTCTCTCTCTCTCTTTCGCTGCCTAATTTTATTCAGTGCCTCTACCCATC